AAAAAAAAAAAGAAAGAAAGAAACATTAGATATAAATGGTAGGACTTCCGTCGTTAGTGTAAATCAATGTAATGTTATGATACCTTAAAATGAGGCCAATATCTTCTATCTTTGCGTATTTTAAATGGACATTTTTGGAAATTTCTATCAACTGGTGTTATGATATTAGTAGCCAATAAAAGTACCTTATCAAGCACAAAATGGAAGTAGCGACTAACAAACTCCCCTGAATGCTGAAAATGCTCTTGTACCGATCTATTACTCTCACCTAGTGCCAAGGTATATAAGAACATTCCTAACATCTTAGTAATTCCAATACGTCTTGAGCCTCTTAATTATATTTAGTTTCAAGCTCATGTAACAAGGATAAAAATGTATCTTTGTTCATCCTAAACATATTCAAACAGCTATCTTCATGACCTTGTAATATTTCCCTTAACCATGCATCACCTGTTTGTTGAGAAGTCATGCGTGGCACTTTATAACAATATGCGTTAGCATATTTCTCAAACATATGAGCACCAATATTCAACATAAAATAATCTTGAAGCTCGTCAATTTCATCATTTTTATTTGACATTATTCCTATAAAGAGAAGAAAGAAATCATTAGAACATAAACACAACATAATACATGTAGATAATTATCCCAAAAAGAAAATAATACACTTGTAAAAAAATATACTCTTGTCACATAAATATATGATTGTCACTCAAGTTAAAGTTAATGAAGAGTTAAAACTAATGACTTTAACCAAAAATCCAATCAAAATTCAAGCTATCTAAGTTAATTTCAAAATAGTCTCCACCACATGTTGTAAAAAATAAAAATAAAAATATCTAGCTTTAAGTTATCATATAACTTCCTACACATAGGAGCTACATGGTCTTCATCCGGTGTCTATAGTATTATGGTTTAAAACTATACAATCAATGAAAGATCTAGAGTTCATAGTCCTTGATCTTATGACAAACTATTTGAATGAAGTAATGCACATCATAGAAGAAGACATGATAAAAAAAAAAAAAAATTAATGAGAATTTGTGGATAAATTAATCTAATAATAGAAAAGATAGAAAAGAGTAATAAAAAAAAGTACAAATAGAAATGAAAAACACAATTCTAGTAAATTCAAAGTTCCATATCAAAAGTTATAAAATAAACGTATCATCAAATCTTCTAAAGAAAATAACATATAAATAAAAATGCCTAGTCTATTTTGAATCCAACACTTTCTACCTCAACATTTTCTGCCTCAACTTTAAGCCACAACAACCTAGCAGTGGGTTTTAGAGAAACAAACATCTCTCGTTTTTCTTTGATGTCTAAAAGTCGAGTGACGGCAAACAAATAAAGCTTTCTGTCAACATCTACATTAGGCATATTATCCAATAATTCTACCACTTCACGTATTGTAGGAACATATGGGTCTTTCTTTGTTGAAGCTGTAGTAATTTTACTTTCCATCAAATTACAGAAACGATCAATTTGACTAGAAAGTTTTCTGCCCCCTCCCTGTTTTCTAGATTTTGTTAGCATATTAGATTCCATAGCATTCCTTTTTGGTTTATTACAATCATTTTCATGTACAAAGTGATTAGCTAGTTCATCAAGATCAATGTTTCCTATAGCTCTTTCACTCAAATCATCACTTCCATCATCTAAATTTTGAGTTTCAATTGGACCACTTCTAGGTGGAAGAGTTCCTGAAGAGGGAGAATAAGCATAATCCTTTTGTGAAATAACTCCATGAAACATCTTCTCATACTTCTCTTCCAAATCAGGTTTTATTCCACTTGTTTTAAATTTCTTTACTTTTAGTCTCTCCTACATATTAGTAAAAGACAATTAGTGCATGAAATAGCTATTAAGTTAAATTAGTTAGATGTGACATAGATCATTTTGGCAAACCTTTTCTATTGCCATCCAAAATTCTCAAGTGGCAACAATAGTGTTAGTTACAAGGTGCCATCCCTGTTGGAAATTAGATCCTATTATTTAGCCATTATCTCTATAATTTAGGAAGTTTAAGTTATTTATTTGTTTTAGGTTGTTATCATTTAAATTAGATTAGATAAGATTGGTTAGTTATCTTTTTAGATAATATTATCTTGTAAAGCCTATTTAAAGGCTGGATTATTTTCAATTTAACGTGAGATTCAGTTTTTCATTCCATCTTCTTCTTCTCGGGAATCCTTGATTTTTAACATTTGGTATCAAAGCCTATTCCTGGAAAATTCCATGGCTTCCAACAATTATGTCCATCCTTCAATCCCTCATTTTGATGGTCATCACTACGACCATTGGAGTATGTTGATAGAGAATTTTCTCCGATCCAAAAAGTATTGGACTGTTGTTGAAGCTGGAGTTCTAGAACCAATGGCAGGTGCAAATGATGCACAGAGGGCAAAAATTGAGAAGGAAAAGTTGAAGGATCTTAGAGCTAAGAACTATTTGTTCCAAGCCATAGATTGGGCTATCTTGGAAACAATTCTTAACAAGTCCACTTCCAAGAATATTTGGGATTCCATGAAGAAGAAGTACCAGGGGAATGAAAGAGGAAAGTGGCAACA